CAACTTATAATTCATTATGGAGATATTACTTACACAAGCAATAAGTTCATTATTCAATTAATATTTTAATTAAAACAAAAAATTCTAAGTTTTTAGAAAAATAATTTTTTTAAAATAATTATACAAATTATATTTTTTAAGAATGACATTACAATAATATATTTTTTTTTATCTGTAAGTATGATACCTTCGTCATTTTAATATGAGAAATAATTAAACAAATAATAATATAGCAATTACCTATAAACAATAATAAGCAATTGGAAATGCTTAAACTCTAAAAATAATTTATTATTTTTCAATATTTTCGTATTATTAAAGTTATTTCATTATTTGTGAAAAAATTTAAAACTAATTTTTGGGAATAACCAAAACAAAAGCAAACTAATTTAGTTCAATAATTCGATTTTTAATTTAATTTAATATCAGTACCAAAATTTAAGGAATTAATAATATAATAATATTTTATTTTTCAGTATTCAATAATTTTTTTTTGGATGAATTTCAGTATTCAATAATTAGATTTAATTGTACAGAACTTTAATCCCATGCAACATTGAGTCACCAACCCACCATTAACAGTCAAAAAGTCGTCAGCTTCCCGAATTGGGCTGGGCTTTGGGCAGAAGCGGACCGTTTCACATTGAGCCAGCGAACATACTCGTAACCGGTCGGACGGTTTCGGATCGTCGCCACTGCGAAAGGCCAAAAAATTCATGGGCTCCTTCTTATTGACAAACAACCCGGTCTTCAGTCTTCCTGCATTTCCTTTCATTGCTATTCTTCATCTATTCAAAGAAGAAGAAGAAGACATACTGGAATCGTAGTGGCAGAGAAGGAGGTAGAGAGATATGAGCGGTCACGATTCAAAGTACTTCTCTACCACCAAGAAGGGAGAAATCCCGGAGCTCAAAGAAGAGCTCAATTCTCAGTACAAGGTCACTTTTTCGCTTTCGTTTTCTCTCTCTGCGCACCCATACACGTATATGATTGTGTACGTCTTGATCTATGATTCGTGTCGATTAGGTTTGAAGTTTTTGTTTCATGTTTGCTTCTTCACTGCTATCTAATTGTCGTTTCTGGTAGATCTGTAGGTTCTTCTTCCTTAGATTAGTTCTTGATGATTTTGATATGCTACTAAACGGATCAATTCAAAATGCCATGTTTACTATCGCAAACTTCATTTTCTGCATTATTACTGAGGAAATGCTGGAACTAGGAAGACAAATTTACGGTTTCATGGTGGTATGCGAATGCGAGCAAAAACAAATATGGGATTTGGAGATTAGTTAGTTCTTAGATTGGAGCTTTGTGCATGGATTGCTTTGTTCATTGGGTGATTTCTTTTATGGGTCGGAGTTATGATAATTAAACTTGCCCTAAGTTGGTTTTTAGGTTTTGTATATTTGAAAGAAGATTCTAATCCGGGTTTATTTACTTCATATGAAACCTTTATTTCTGTACTTGCATTCGTGCGCCTGTGCACCATTTCGTGGGTATCTGTGTATGTGGTATCAGCCCACTGATTGGCTCGGGGACAAGATTGTGAAATGAAACACTTGTAAAGGTGTTTTTCTTTTGGGGTTTGGAGAAATTAGAGGGTTGGGCATTGAATCTAGAGAAGAGCTATCCGAAGAAAAAGGAAAACTTTTTAAATATCAAAAGGATAGAGACCAGACTAAGATCAAAAGAGATATTCATCAACTTGTTTACAAACCAGTTTAACTAAGATTGCTGCCAAGTGCAAAATTTGTTCTATATCTGGAGTCCATTCTGGCTTTTGTAGTCAATACTTGGCTTAATATGTTTCATCAACATGTTTAACAAACTTGGTTATGTTTCAATTGGCAATTTTTCATCATAACAAGTGCTTCAAATAGAGTTGTTTCTGGTACTGATTAATTTTGCATTGTGAAGTGTTTTAATGATCTTTTTTGGGATGCTTATGTGACAATTTCATGTGGGAACTATGTCTATTTTACATTCCATCAGAATTCAGAATCAGAAACATTCTCTTCTTTTCCATGATATAGGATAAGAGAAAAGATGCTGTTAAAAAGGTGATTGCAGCAATGACTGTTGGGAAGGATGTCTCATCACTTTTCACAGATGTGGTGAACTGCATGCAGACAGAAAATTTGGAGCTGAAAAAGCTGGTTTATTTGTATCTTATAAATTATGCCAAAAGCCAGCCTGATCTTGCAATTCTTGCTGTCAATACTTTTGTGAAGGTTAAAATAACTATCAATGATCTTCCTCTTATAGATTAAGCTGGGCATTTCTCTTAGTACAGTTTTTGACATCTCCACTAAAAAAGTTAAATGTGTTTATATCATAACTTTGGTTATTTACTTAAATTTTAGGAACTTGCTTCCAAACTATAGATCTGTGTTTTCAATATTAAATTTCTCATGAATTCCTCAAAATTTAATGTTTTCTCAAAGTCTAGATGTTTTATCATCTCAAAAGATCCTAGATGTTTTAATTTCTGTTTGATCTGTTCTTCCTTCACTTGGAAATGTCCCCTTTGCATAGAAGTGTGGATTTGTCTTCTATATATTTTAGCACTGGAATGGACAGTTTGTGCGTAGAGTTAATTCTTATCACATTTTTTATTTATTTTTCACTCTGTCAGAAAAAAAGAAAGAAAAGTATGGTTTATGAATGAAGGAGCTCTGCAATTTGGGTTGCTGGCCTCTTAAAATTAGAATGTGCAAGATCCTTTCCCAAAGGGAAAAAGGTTAATTATATTTTTTAATGTTATTGCAATTCTTTTAACATGCAGGATTCACAAGATCCAAATCCTCTCATTCGTGCTTTGGCTGTACGTACAATGGGATGCATTCGTGTTGACAAAATTACGGAGTACCTATGTGATCCCCTTCAGAGGTGTCTTAAGGTTAACATTTTTTATTTATGCCTTTGCCATTTACCATAATGCTTTGCTCTTCTACTTCAACAGTGTTAGAAATCTAGTTTACTTCAGTTGCATCTTGTCATTGATTTCTTTATCTGACTATTGGATAATATTCTGTCAAGGATGATGATCCATATGTTCGCAAAACAGCAGCTATATGTGTTGCGAAGCTCTATGATATAAATGCTGAGTTAGTCGAGGATAGAGGTTTTCTGGAATCTCTGAAGGATTTGATATCTGACAATAATCCAATGGTTGTAGCAAATGCTGTAGCTGCTCTTGCTGAGATTCAAGAAAACACTAGTAGGCCTATCTTTGAGATCACTAGTCATACGCTCTCAAAACTCCTCACTGCTCTAAATGAATGCACAGAGTAAGTTCAGCTTCATACACTCTCATCCTCCTTATTGTTTTAATGTGAATGCATAGTAAGTTTGGCTTTGAAATCCCCAGTTCCCTTTCTTTAGACTAAGAAATTGAAAAACAAGTGTTAGGTCTCTAGATTGGGATCTAAGAACCTATGGGTTTGTTCTGGATAAGGGAAGGGCTTGTTAAGAGAGAACCTCTTGATCTTTGAGTTTCTGCTTAGTCTTTATTCAATCCAACATCTAAATTTATTCAAGAAGAAAATTAGCTGCTTCTAAGGAATTGGTAACCTCCTTTGCTGGAAGAGACCAATTCCCATTTTTTTGGGAAAACAGGAAACTATTACACAAAGAACTAATTCCATCTGTTGGGGAAAAAAAGAAAAATATTACTTGAAAAATTTCTATAAAGAAAAAAAAAACCTAGAATACTAACACTAATATCTTCAGGAAAAGAAAAAAAAAAAAATAGTAAATAGAAAATTAACTTTTGGATATGTAATAAAAACATGTTATGTTGGGAACCTTTGTTATTATAGGTTTCCTATGGAAGAGGGTGAGGGATCATTAAGATCTCTTAACATAAGGGCTTGGTAGGAGAGAACTGTTTGACCTCGTTGCTAGGGTCCCAATAAGAGACAACCCTTGGGTCTTTTCGAACAAACAAAAAAAAAAATGGAAAAGGAGATAACCCTTGGGTCTTTTCGAACAAACAAAAAAAAAAGGAAAAGGAGATAACCCTTGGGTCTTTTTTTTCTTGAAAAAAAAAAAGAGAAGAGAGAGGCAACGCTTGGGTCTTTGAGTTTGGGAAAGAAACTCATGCTCTTTTTTTTTATTAATTTTGCTTAGTCTTTATTCAGTTCAACATCTAAATTTAAGAACTTGGCTACTCTTGAGGAATAGGCAACCTCCCAGTGGTCACTTTTGTAGATTGTAGGAAAATAGAAACTATTACGTCAAAAACTAGCATCCGTAGGAAAGAAAACATAAATTATTATGTTCGCAAGTGGGTGAGGAATCCTGCATTGAAAGACCTTTGTACTGGTGATCTACCCTTCTATATTATTTTCCCTTTGTCTTTACATTCTCTTTTGTCATCATAAAACTCCCATTGGTCACTTTTTTTTTTTTGAAAATAAAAGTAAGAGTAGTATTAATATCAAAAGGTGCTGAGGGAGTACCCCCATGTACAGAATTTACATCTTGATTAGCATATCTACAATATTATCTAAATCGTCAAAACGATCAAGATTATGTCCTAAAATATAAGAGCCAAAATAGTTAAACAAGTTATCCTTGATGATGTTAAAATCAGATTCGACTCCTTCAAAAGCCCATTTGTTTCTTTCCTTCTAGATGACCCAAAATTTAGTACGAGGAATGAGTCTGGTGAATTTATTGCTGCTGCCAAGGTCCTCCCAAGCCATCAATTCCGAGTTGACATTTTCAGAGATTACCCAAGAGACCCCCAGCAGCCCTAGGATCATGTTCTGGAGATTCCGAGTGGTGAGGCATTTCAAAAGAATGTGATTACAAGTTTCGAAGTCTTCCTTACAAAGAAAACATCTATTAACAATTGTGTGACCTCTTTTCATCAAATTATCAAGTGTAAGTATCTTCTCCTTAGCAGCCTCCCAAGCAAAGAATGATATACTTGGAGGAGCACCAGATTTCCATATTATCTTAGATGGAAAAGTTCTTTGAATATTCTGTTTTTTACCATCCAGGAAGCAATACAGGGAATTGACATAAAATAATCCATTCTTTTTGAGGTTCCAAATTAATTTGTCCTCCCTATTAATTAGAGTAATACTGGCCAATGTAAGAAGCAGAGATTCATAATCTTCCAGCTCCCAATCATTAAGATTTCTCGCGACTGGGACATTCCAAGAAGCTTGGCAGGCCGAACCAGCAACTTCCCAAACAGATGCATGCTTGTTCTTAGTGATAGTGTAGGTATGAGGAAATTTATCTTTGAAATTTTCAGTTCCGCACCATATATCCTCCCAAAAACGGATTTTTTGACCATTCCCAATAGACCACTTAGAACAATGAAAAACAACATCATTCAAATTAATTATGTTCTTCCACATACTAATACCATAGTTTCTGTTCTGAATGTGTGAAAGATCATAAGGATTGCCTTCAATATGGAGGATTAGGGATTCGGTCCTTGGTTAAATTGAATGAAGCTCTTCAAGGTAAATGGCTTTGGAGGTATTGGAGGGAAGATAATAGAATGTGGAGAAGGATTGTTGAAGCTAGATGGGGTATGCATATGACCTTTAGAAGTGGTGGCAGTCCTTCTCTCCCTCATGGGTGGGGTTTGTGGAGGAAAATTCTGATGCAGTGGAATTTGTTTAATCAGTGCTTAAAGTGGAAACTTGACAGAGGTAACAAAGACAAAGTTTTGGGAAAAAGATTGGGTTGGGGAAGGTAGACTACTGAGCAGGTTTCCCAGAATTTATAATATCGCTCAATCCAAAGATATGACATTTGTGGAGGCTTACAAGGTTGTTAATGGGAACACGGTTTGGTTAATTAATACTAAGAGGAACTTTGAATGATTGAGAGGTTGAAGAGTTTGAAGACTTGATGGCTACTCTTGAATATGCACATGTGTCAGATAGTGATGATTAGGTGGTGTGGAATTTGGAAAAAACTGGAATATTTTTGGTCACCTCATACAATAAGTTCCTACCCAACATGGGTACCGAACACACATCACTGTTTCCTGCTAATCTGATTTGGAAGACTAAAATTCCTCCACGTATTGCTTTTTTGCTTGGGAGTTTGCTGGGAAAAATCTTACTTTGGACAGGTTGAAAGTAAGGCGGGATTATTGCAAATGGTTGCTATGCTGTTAAAGGCTGAGGAAACTTGCAATCTACTGTTTCTAAAGTATGGTGCGAGATTTATGGGTGGTTAGGTATCAATTGGATTATTTCGGGTTCGGTTAGGGGGGGAGATTTGGGCTTGGGATGGTTTATATGTAAAAAGAAACATTGGTAATTTTATCCCTTTGACCGTTTTTTGGATTATTTGAAAAGAGGGAAATAGAAGGGCTTTTGATAGCATAGAGAGTAGTTTTAATAGATTAATAGATAGATGGATACACTTGTTTGGGACAATTGTGCTTGGTCATGACATCGTTAATGATGATGATTTTGGGGAAATCATTGATATTCTAACTTTTTTGTAGAGATTTTGTACATGGGTGGTATTCCCGTTTTTTGTACCTTGTGAATAATATACACTTTTTATTTCAAAAATATAAAGATTGCCTTAAAACCATTTGCAGTTGATAACCAATTTCCATAAACTGATGTTGTCGTTCCAAAATCTCCAAATCCATTTCCCAAGCAAGGCCTTGTTTAATTAGTCAAGGATCTCAGCCCCAATCCACCTTCCCTCAAGAGTTTTTTAACATCCGACCACTTAATCAAATGATATTTCTTCTTGTTTTGACTGTCACCCCATAGAACATTGCATTGGATGACTTCCAATTTTTTGGCAACATTTATGGGAATATTAATAACAAATAGATAATAGATTGGCAGATTAGAGAGAGTGCTCTTTATGAGTGTTAATCTACCTCTTTTAGACAGAAATTTCTTCTTCCAAGTGGGTAATCTGTTGTTGAACGTTTCAATCACTGGTTCCCAGCATCTTTTGTCATTTTTCTTGGTTCCCAAAGGTACACCCAGGTAGGTAATGGGAAGGGTCGACTTTTTACAGTCAAGAATATCATAGAATGTATTTCCAGTATTGCAGCAGCCCAGGTCAACTAATTCTTATTTGTGAAGATTAATTTTTGATCCTGACACAGCGTGGAAGCGAATCATAATACATTTGAGAATATTAAATGACTTGTGTTAGATTGACAGAATATGAGCGTGTCTTCTGCGAATAAGAGTGGGAAAATTCAATGTGTCTTGTGTTGTTTCCCATAGATACCCCCTTAATTAATTGAATAGCTTTAGCTCTCTCTAGTAATTGATGCAAAGCCTCCATTACAATAATAAATAAAAAGGAGGAGAGCGGATCCCCTCGTCTCAACCCTCTAGTAGCAGTGAAAAAAGAGGAAGACCCACTATTCACTATAACGGCAAGGATGGTTGTAGTGAGACAAGATTTGATCCAGTTTCTCCATTTATCACCAAAACCCATTCTTTGCAACATATAATCTAGGATATTCCAATTAACATGATCGAAAGCCTTTTCCATGTCAAGTTTGCGTAGAATACCTTTCTTGTTGTGCCGAATGGTTTCATTCACAAATTCGTTAGCAATAAGGATGACATTAGTAATCTATCTCCCGTTAACAAATGTGTTAACAATTACTGATGATATATTTCAGCACACTTGTTAATCTATTAGCCAAAACGTTCGATAATAGTTTGTAAATGAAACAATGAGGCTAATAAGTCAATAATCATTGATATTCTTGGGCTGAGCTTTTTTTGGGATCATAACAAGAAATGTTGAATTGAGAGAGCGAACAAATTTTCCATGAGCATGAAAATCCTTGAAAAAATCAAGTATATCTTGTTTAATGACCTCCCAAAAGGTTTGTAAAAATTTGATGTTGAATCCATTTGAGCCCCAGGCTTTATCCCCATCACAATTTTTCAAACAGGACTAGATCTCTTTCTTGGAGAATTCCTCCTCCAATAGATTTTTCTAAACCTCATCAAGACTGTTGAAGAAAAGATTGTCAAGTTTGGGCCTATAATTGGTACTCTCCTTATACAGTTTTTGAAAATGCACTTTTGCCCCCTCTCTAAGAGCCTCATTACCCTTGATGCACTTGCCATCCATGTTGAGTTGTTCAACATAATTCACTCTTCTTCTATGATTAACTAACATATGAAAGTATTTGGAGTTTTTATCTCCATATTTGAGCCACTTTTTTCTTGATTTTTGTTTTCAGGAGGTAGCTTCTATTTGTAATTTTTTGTCTAAATTAGCTTTCAAGTGACATTTCCTCTCTCTTTCCAGAACAATCAGATTACCATTTTCTTCTTCCTTGTC